ATGTGCTGATGAGGGCATCAACTATTGAGCATTACTAGCATTCGTTACGATGACAGGCAGGAGTAGAGAGGGACCACTGGGAGTGAAGGAGGGTTTTCTGAAACCTACTGCCATTTACTTCTCTCCACTGGCACTGGCGTGGGAGAGGGCGTGGGGGGGGGAGGCTGTGGGCAGAGAGTGCAGGCCTGCAGCAGAGGGAGGACCAGAGTCCTCCTCAGTGCAGCCTCCCCCCTCATGACAGGTCACCGCCCTGGCCACTCTCTCCCCAGAGCAGGGCCCAGCCCAGTCCCCTCATCGCCTTCAGGATGCTCTGGAAGGGGCTCATGAAACGTGCTGGCCTGACAGCAGCCCCGATGGCAGGGTGGAAGGCTCCCAAGGAGGCAGGGGGAGCCGTTCGGGGTGCAGACATAATTCCTACACCACCTCCTTCCTTGTGCCTTTCCCTAGAGGCCCACGTGCCCCTCTCTGCCCACCCCATTCAGCGTCCCCCTTGTCCTCCCCAGATGTTTGTCCAGGTGCAACCCCTTTTCCAACTACACCTTGGGGAAGGAGAGGCGAGGTTGTGTGTTCTTACCTGGAGGGTGCCCCACATTACCTCGCTCCTGTAGGCCCCCAGCAGCAGGCGAGGAGGCTGGGTGGAGTGACTGAGGAGGGCCAGGTGGGCAGTGCCAGCTGCCCCCTCCCGATGGTGAGCAAAGCCTCAGACACAGGGGAGGAGGCGGGCCTGGGGGAAGTTACCTGTTGCACAATGAGAGTGGGGGCGGGGTGGCACCTGAGGCATCTCAGGTGGAGGCAGCTGGCACATTGGTTGTGCTGGGCACCATGCCAGCTTACAGGAGCAATTTTCGTCTCTCGGCTGGAAAAATCGTACCTGTGCTGCCCTTGCCCTGATCCGTCTTTTCCTTATACCAGGAGCCTCTGCCTCCAAGACCTGATGGGAGGGAGGAGGCACCTATCTTCCCAGGGGCGGGGGTGTTGGGCAGAGGATCAAGGGGGGGCCCAAGGGGACAATGGTGCCAGGTCTTCTGCCCTGTGGCTGCACTGGAGCCTCGGGATCTTTGCTCCTGTTCCGATCTGTATCCTTTCTCACCCTTCCTTGGGACCCTTGGAGGCCACTGTTCTGGGTTGGGTGGGCGTGGACAAAGGAGCTGAAGAGAGAAGGGAGTCAGATGAACTCGGAGCTCTGCAGATGGTTGGGGATGTTAAGGACTGTTTTACAGTCCTTACTGTAAAGGACTGTAAAGTAAGGTGCATACATAAAGAATACCACCTGAATCACACTGAGCATTTTAGCTCCTCACTGTGATGGGGGCCCTCACGATGCAGGAAGTCAAGTTAGAGTGGGGAAGATGAATGCATTGTCCCCCTGGTGCCGCTGGGACTGGTTCTAATCTCTAAGGGCCGATTCATGGAGTCTCTCCCCCTCAGTTCCCGAGAAAGTGTCTTCCTGGCATTTAGGGTAAGGGCAGAAGAAGCTCCATGTGGCGGGACAAGCATCTTCCCAATTGTCATCCGGAGGATAGCGCTCAATTCCTGAACTTTGACATAAATGTCTGTCTTAACCCCCGGCTGCATTCCAGAGTCCCCTCTCTCCAGTCCACCACACAGTCCAGGGATGTTTGCCCGAGGCTGGTCCCTGCTTCTGCCGGCCCCCAGGGTTAGGAGCCAGTGGTGGTGATAGCGCAGAGGCTGGGAGCCTTGGAGTCGGGCGGGTCTGGGTTTGAATTTCAGCTTCACTGTTCTTCGGTTGGCTACACCTCTCTAAGCCTCAACTCTTGTCTCTGAAACGGGGCTGAAAATGCCCACTTCTGCAGGGATGTCGAGAGGATTAAATTAGAGAACTCGGGTGGAGCGTCTGCTGATTCCTCCCTCTTGGGGCACACAAAGTAGGGGAGGGACGAGGCCTTGTCTCCCGGGGGGCACCTGGGGGAGACGCAAAGGACAGAGGCTTGTGTCGTCGAGCGGGAGGCTTACATGTGGAGGAGCAGCCGTGCAAGTCCCCACTTCAGAGCTTTGAGAGTCTTGGGAGGTGGCGTCCATGCAGCCGAGGAGAAGCCACCCCTCCCCTTGCCAACCCCTCCCTCACACAGGGCCTGCTGCCTCCCATGCCCGTGCTGGGCAGGCAGCCAGGCAGAGAGCTGGCCAAGTGCCCACTGCGCACTCAGAGGCCAAAAGATGGGCACCATCCAGTTGGCAGAAGGAGAGGCAGCTGGCCCAGGAGGAGAGAAGTCGGGGTGCTGACTGCTGGGGTCGTGTGCCCAACCAGTGTGTCCAAGAAGTGCTCTTGGCTGCCCTCCTGAGCCGTCTGGCTGGAGCTCGGATGGGCCCTGTTCTCCCCCTGCACTGGCCCTGCCACCTAAATTATTGCAGCTGGAGGTTAATCTCTGAGGGGCATCAGGGACTCGTCCCTAGCCAGGCATGTGGCTGGCTCAGGGCAGGCATGGGGGCGGGCAGGAAAGTGGGAGAGCCTAGAATAAGGCTGCAACTGGGTAGAACAGGAAGTGGGGAAACCGGTTTGTCATTTGGGCCTCTTGGGGTGGGGTCTCCTCTGCTGCCTCTCTGCCTGCCTGCCACTCGGCCTGGCCGACCATAGGGAAGAGATGTAATGCGCCCCTTCCTTGCTCATCTGAGCTGGCTTTGGGGATACAGAGTAAAGAAAGCGGGCAGGGGACTTAGCCCACCTTCCCTTCCCCAAGAGAAGTTTGGGAGAGAAGAAACAGGACAGAAAACCGCAGGGACACAGGGAACAAGTAACCAGGACAGGAGGAGGGGTCAGAGCCGGTCTCAGCTGGAGGAGTCTTTGCGTTCCACAGGGAGGCCAAGGTAAGAGTAAGGTGCCGGTGGGACTAAGACAGGGGGTAGGGGAGCAGTGCTGGCCTCTGCAGGCTGAGGTGGTGGTGGCAATGGCGTCGCCAGGCGAAGTGTAAGGCGGGGGTGGGCAGGAGCTGAAGCGCCCTCCTTTGGGGTCCGGCTTGAGAGGTGATTTTAGACACACCTCACTACTAGCTTAGGCCCCTGCAGTTACAGCAGATGCCTGAAGGAGGGGCCGCAACCAGAGCTGGGGGCAAGGAGACACACCAGCAGGGGGCGCCGGGGGACTGAGTCCCGGCCACTGATCAGTGTCTAAGGAGGGGTGGGGGTGGGGGGAGCGTACGAACAGAAGAGGAGCAGGGTCCAGACTCTCCCTGCATAGGACGGCTGTGGCTTTCGGAGGTCACCTTGGCTAACGAGTGCCCCCGCCAGTCCCATCGCCCCGCCTTGCCTCCCTGCCCCGTCCCTTCCCGATCGCTTCTCCATTCCAAAGAGCGCGCAGGGGCTTGGAGACCGAGAAGTCTTCCAGCCCTGGAGGTGCAGCCCCTCCCCCGAGGCCGTTTCCGGGCCTTGGGTATTTGTCTTTATAGCGGCGAGAGGATAGCTTGGGGTGGGAGAAGCAGGTGGAAAGAGGAGGGAAGCGTGAGCGCGCCTCTTCCCCGGGCCCCGCCGCTCGCCGCGGGATCCCGCTGCTCCAGGGCGCGAGGCGCCGCGCCCCCTCCCCTCCCCGCCCCGCTCCCGCCACCCCAGGCGGCCCTTTGTATGTTCCGGCCACACGCCCGTGCCCGCGCCGCGCGCGCTCCCGCCCGCAGTGACACACCCGCGCCGGTTCGCGCGCGTTCACACACACACACACACACACATACACACACACTCGCTCTCTCACACTCGGTGACACGCCCGCGCGCGCGCGCGCACCCACACGCCCGGCCGCCGGCGCCCTCCCAGCTGGTCCACCCCGGCGGGGCCCGCGCCCCCGGCCTGCCCGCTTGGCACCGCGCTCCGGGGCTGGGGCCGAGCAAGGAGCCGGAGAGGCAGCAAGAGGGCGAGCGCCAGGCAGGCCGGCCCGGGGCCCCCGCCCCCCGCGCCCCGCCCGATGGGGAACGCTCCGTCCCAAGGCATGTCCCTGTCTCTCTCCTCCCTAATGTGCCTCCATGCTTAAGTGGAAGGTATTTCTGTTTTCTTTGTGTGTTTTCCCCTCGGCCGGGGGCGGGGGCGGCGGCCGGGTCCGGGAGGCGGCGGCCCGAGGGGCGAGGGATGCTCCGGGCGCAGGTGTGTGGGGGGCAGGGGACCGCGGCGCGCCCAGCTTGGGAGAGGACACTAGCGAGCGGAGGGCTGGGACTCGAGAGGGGTTCAGGAATTGGCGAGGCTGGAGACCGGGTTGGGAGGGCCTAGTAAGGCCGGGGGAGCGGGCCCGCGGGGGTTAAAATTTAAAGGGGTATGTGTGGAGGGGTGGGGAGAAGAGGAAGGTGGATGGATGGTGAGGACAGTGGGTGAGGGGAGTGGACCATCCGAGGTGGAGGAAGAGAAGGATGAAGGAGGAGGCGAAGGGGTTGGAGAAGTGGGGGGAACATCGAAGGTCTCTCCCACAGGTCCCAGAATGGGGTGCGCAGACTTGGGTAGCGGTGGTAGGCGCTTTGAGCCAGTCCCCCAGGGGAAGAAGGGGATGACTGCATTCTGGGGTTGGCTGTGTTGCCGGGATACAAGTCTGTATTCCCCACCCCGCACCCCCATCACCTCGAGGCCCCAGCCCTGGAGACCTCGGAGCCTAGGCAGCAGTGGCAGAAACTGGGGACTAGCTCCCAGCTCAGCTGGTGGGTAGGGAGGGGCCACGAGAGGGAGGGGTTGGGGAGGGGCTATTTGATCTTAAGCCCTCCCCCTGAAGAGGGCAAGGGGAGGGCGCCCCCAGCTGGGCAGAGCGTCTAGGGTTAGTGAAGAGTTAGGGACCGCTGGAGGCTGATGGGCAGAGGGAGGGGCTGGGGACGGGACGCCCCTGGCTCCCTCCCTCCTCCCACGCACCCCCCTGCTACGTCAGAAGCTCCCGGACCAGCTCTGAGTCCTGTCGGTGGGGGCAGCAGGATGCTAGTGGAAGCAGAGGGGGCCGGCCGGGTGCCTCCGCAGCTCGGCTGGCAGAGCCCAGCGCGGTGTGTGCGGCTGCTGGTGCGAGCACCCCCGCCCCACCCTTCCCCATGCAGCCCTGGCAGTGCCTCCGGCGCTTTGCCCTGGCCTGGTGGGAGAGGACAGCTGAGGGCAGCTCCCGATCTCCCAGGGAGGAGGCTGGACCGAAGGACCCTGGGGGCCGAAGGGAGCCAGGTGAGCAGGAACAGGGACTGTGCAGGAGGGGATCCTGGACTCTCTTTCCCTTTCCCCAGATGCTATGCAAACCAGGTCTTGCAGCCCCCAACTTTAAGGGAAGTGGGTCCCCTGAGCTGAGGTTCCTGGATGAAGCCTTTCAGAAGATGTTGGAGCTACTGTTGTTTTGGAAAACAGATGAAAGGCTGGGAGTGGGGGGCAGTCGACCAGACTTCCAGGCTGATGGGTCTGAGTGTTTGATTTGGGGTTTGAGCCCTTTGGTGGGGGTGGAATTCTGGATATATTGGTCTGGGTGACCTTGAGACAGCTGCTTTGCTGTCTCCGTGCCTCAGTTTCCCTCATTTCCTTCTGTGTCTCTTGCTGATCTTAAAGAATTGATGATGCGTTTGATAGAGACTGTCATTGCGAAAATAACGAGACTGTCATTATTGGTGGCAGCTGTGATGGTGGAGGTTTCTGGCGAGGTTGTGCGTTTGTACGTATGTGGAGAGCAGTTATGGTTTATGTGTGAGGGTTTTTGCTGTTTCTGCTCGGTGTTGGGGCCACTGTGAGCAAGTGTCAGAGCCAGACACTCGCACAGGGAGGAGGGCTCCAGGGGACCTGAGAGTTGGGCCAGACACTTTGCTCATGGGCTGGTGTGCAAGCAAGAGGTGGGGGTGAGGGCCGTGGGCATAAGGGGGGGGTCCCGAGAATAAGATTACCCCAACCCAGACTGCCTGGCACCCAGGCACCGCTGGCAGTGAGTGTAAAGGCTTTGCTCTGGCTTCCTGCCACCCCGCCTTGGGGACAAGAGGGTCTTTGTCCAGTGCCCCCCTAGCGCTGCTTCTCCCGTCCTTACCATGACAGCCGGTTATCATGATGACCCTTGGGGCTGGGATGGAGACCTGGTGCCCCATGTGCTCTGGGATCGGGAAGAAGCAACTGTGGTCCTCAGGCCACGTTGAGTGGTAAGGGGGCGCTCTCAGGGGAAGGGTCCCTGGACATGGGACCCTCTCTGCTTGCCTTGTTGCCTAATGCTGGGATTCTGGGGTCTTCGTGACCTGATTCCTGCTGGGCTGAAGGTTTCTTAGAGATGTGCAGGGAACAAGCTGGTGCTGGGATGCAGATTCTCAGATGCTCTTGCTCTCTTCTTCACTCTCTGGCCAGGGACCCACCCTGGAAAAAGGGTTTAATTAGAACCATTGACTCCTCTTTGGCTGTGGGCATTGATCTCAATGATGTGGTCAGAGCCGGCGGAGTGGGGGCGGCAGCATGGCTGCCATCTGCCCAGTGCCAGCCTTGGCTTTCTCTGGCAAAACCCAAGTTTAGGAGGGAGAGGATTTTTGGAAGTACCAAGTCTATTTTAGCCCCCCACCCCCACCCCTCACTCCAGGTTAGGTCTTGGGGAAAGAAGGCAGATGGGGTTGAGGATTAGAATGGACCGAGCTGGAGTGTGAGGATCTTCCTGAGCTTTGGGCCTGGGGCTCAGCAACGGAGGGGCAGCTGTGGTTGGGGGGGTTCGGCAAGGGGGAGTCAGGAGGCAGTTGGTGGGGTCTGTGGGTGTGGGGCAGGCAGAGAATTCAGGGAAAGGATCTAGAGGAAGGATCTAGGGCTTGCCACAAAAGCTTTTCTTTCGAGGAATCCCAAGCACTTATCTCCTCCAAGCCCTGGCAAGGAGATTCTGTTTCTTTCTTCATTTGTGTCCTCGAGACCCAGAGAGGGACAGAGACTGCCTCTGAGGCCCAGTGGCCCTGAGTCTGGCCTTTGAGCCTGGCCTGGCCAAGGGGCCCCTGCCTAGGCACCGGGGCTGAGGGTGAAGCCCCTGGCAGCCTCAGATCTGGGCTCCAGGCTTGGCGGGAGTTGGGGGACGCACTGTGCCCCTCAAGCCCCGGCTGCCTGCTGCGGTCGGGCCAGTGCAGGTGCGGCTTCAGGGAGCCACTGAGAGGCTCTTTGAAGATTCCCTTGTTGACTTCCTAGGGCCCATTCGAGCAGAGATAATAAAAATCTGGCCGTCAGCGGGTTTGAGGGCTGCACTTGCTTCCCCTTCTTTCATTCCCATCTCTGAAAAGCGGAGATGAAGGCTTTGGATTTGGCTAGGAAGCCGGTTTGCTCGCCCCGAGGGAGGGAGAGAGGGAGGGAGGGAAAGAGGGAGGATGGGAAGCAGAGGAGGGCGGACTGATTTCCTGGCAGCCTGGGGAGTTGCAGGGGAAGCGGGCAGAGGGGCAGGGGCATGGTCCCCAACTCCTGCCAGACAGCCCCAGGCCTCGGTGGGGTTCCTGTGCCCCACACCCAGGCAGCTTTGTCCTTCAGTGGCTCAGTTCCGGAGAGCCCTCCCCTCTCGGCTCCCCTGTGCCCCTCTGTGCCCTTCAGTCTCCCCACTCCCTGCCTCACGACCTCCCCTGGCTCTGCCCGCTCGTTTCTCCTGCTCTGCCTTTCATGCTCTCTCGCCCTTGTCTCCCCCTCTGCTCCTCGGTCTCCTCTCGCCTCTTGCTGTCTGCCCCCTCCCATCTGTCTTCCTTCCCCCTAGCCTAGGTCCTGCTTTCTAGGACTGTCTGGAGGGTGGAGAAGCCAAGCTGGGGGGGTGAGGTAGGAGGGGGGCAGCCTCAGCCAAGGAAGGGACGGGCCTGGGTTTATTGCGGTCTGTCAGGTGCCGTAGTCATCAGAGTCCCCACCGAAGGGAGCTGCTGAGCACTTAGGGATGTGCCTGTGCAGTCAGCACCACAGCGGGCACCTTGCCCTGACATTGGGCTTCAGCCACTCCAGTTCTGCTGCCTTCCACTGCCACCGGACTGCCGGGAAACCATGCCCGGCCTCTGGCCCCTCCACCCACTGCCCCGGTCATCACTGCCCACTGTTGCCCTCCCACACACTACACCGTCTCCAGGCTCAGAGGCAGGAAGACGGGGATTCTGATAGGCCTTTCTAGAACCCCATCTAGGCCCTGCACCCCCTTTGACATCTGGGAAACCCCCCATATGAAAGACAAGACAGTTATGGAAAGAACACTGGGCTGAGAAAAGTCCTCATTAGGCTCCTTGCCCGGTGACCAAAAGTCTGAATGACCTTGAGCAAGTCCCTTCCTAGGGGGCCTCTTTTCCTCACCTGTGACAGGAGGAGGTATGGGTTGGATCATCCCCAAGGTCTCTTCTGACATTCTACCCATGTTGTGTCTCTCTTCTGGATGATTTGCATATGCTTTGCATATATTAATGATGTGTGCTTGAAGGGGGAGGGTGCCACCCACAGGGACCAGAGTCCCACCCACCATTGCCATTCCCTTTGCCCATTGGCTCAGGCTTTCTCTGTGTGAATCCCCCAACGGGTGGAAGCTGAGGCCTGAGCATTCCCTGGAGAGGTGAGTCCAGCCTCCCTCTGTCTCAGCCAAGCAGGAGGCAAGATGCGGGGAAAGCCCTAGTGACAGGGACCCCTGCCCTCATCCCTTTTGTTTCAAAAGGTCCAAACACAGAAGCCAAGTGGTGTGTAAATCCACTAAAGTTGCCCGTGGCTACCATAGGGGGTGTGGAACCCCATGAAACTATCCGAGGGGCTTAGATGTCTCCCTCCGGCACCAGGAGGCCTGGGGACGACAGGAGCTGGACTAAGTTTAAGAGCTCTTCCTCTGGCCTCAGCTCCCGCCCACCCCCAGGGCAAGTCCTGCCGCCTTGTGCCCCCACCTGCTTCTGCTTAGCCCCCCGGGGCTCTAGGTGTGTGTGATTGGAACTTGGACCTGAGAGATGGTTAGTGAAAGAGAACTAGATCTGTCCATCTGTGGGTCCTGCCTAGTCAACACACAAAAGGTGAGCTCCATGCCCCTTGCAAGGGTCACAGACATCACCAGGGAAGACCTTCTGCTCTCAGTTCTGCCCCACCTCCATCTGCCCAGACCGATCTCCTGAGGACTGCCCCCAGGGCCTCCCCACACCCACCACCGGGCAGGTGCTCTGTCTGCGTCTGGCACAGGCCAGTGCTCTGATCCCAGTCCTGCCCCAGTTCCCTCCACTCCTATAACACCCATCACATGGGCACGACAGTAAAGTTGGCACCTGGAGAAGATAATGTGGGGCTACTGAGCAATGGTGGGGATTTCTGAAGGTGAGCAAAAATGCCCTCCACCGCCAGGAGAACTGGGCCTGAGGAGAAGCAGCAAGAGGGATCAAGGTCAGATTGATTCTTCAGGAGGGACTGTCCCAGGGGAGGATTAGTTTCTGGCCATGGAATTGTTGTGAAAATTAAGTGAAATCCTAAATGAAAATGTCCAGCACATTGCCTGACACATACTAAACACTCCAGAACTCTGAGATTTAGGATTTTACAAGGGATGAGGAGCTGGAAGGACCATTTCCAGAAGAGTGGTTTCTCCCACACGCAGGCTGCCGCTCCCTCACCACACCCCTCACGCCCCACGCATGCACTGGGCTCGGGGCCGAGCCATCCTGGTACACCCTGCCCTCATCCTCTCTGCTGCTGGGCAAACAGAGTGTTTGGAGGCCGGGAAACCTGTTCTCCTCCCCCTCCCCCTATCTTTGCACAGGACAGCTGGAGAGAAAGCAGGCCCACGCTGCAGCAGGAGGAATAGAGGTTACATAGGAAGAGAGTCCCGGGGGTGGTGGTGCGCAGAGGGTGGCCGTGGGAAGGGTGGCCGCTCCAGGGCGGGGAGCTAGGACAGTGTTCTCCGCGTCTTTTACCTCCAGGAGAGGTGTGCGTAAGCGTGAGTGGGGCAGGGACAGGGGCAGGGAGCTGGTAGGCTGTCCTGTGAGATGGCCGGAGGAGCTTGGCAGATCCAGTTTAACCTCTTGTGGCTCTTGTGGTCGGCGGAGCTCAGAGGGCCATGACCAAGGGGTTCAGAGCTGCTGGGGGGGGAGGGGATCCGGAAGTCATTCTTTGATCTCCAAGGGCAGAGAAGTGAAGAACAATGTAAAGAGAAAGCACTGGACTGGTGTCAGCTTGTCTACTTCCTCCACTGCTGTGTGACCTGGGGCAAGTTATTTGCCCCCTCTGGTCTTCAATGTCCTTGATGTGAG